GCTGAAAGACACTTTTTGTTCGTGCGGCATTTAAGGGAAAATGGTTTCTGCATGTTCCTGCATCATCTTGCTGGTATGCTCCACTTGTTACTCGACTGTCACCTCATCACCCATTACTGTGTCTAATCAGCCCTAATTGAGGTCTCTCCTGGCACCGGTTCTTTGCTCTTTGGTAAAAAATTCAGCAGCTTTAGAAAGGCTGGGTGGCATGGGCAAACATGGAGGAATGATGGTAGATTTTTAGTTCAGAAAAAGACAGACACTCATTAGAGCAGACAAAAGCTCATTCTTTGAGCTGAAAGAGCATTGTACAGCCTGGGTGAAGACGTCCCATCTGCTCTGGGTTTCAGTGTTACTGTGTATGAAATTTAGTGTTCAGGTTCTTAACTAACACATTTCCCCAGTTTGTGCTCCCTTAAAGTCACAAAGTAGAACATTCTTTTTAAAGGCACAGCAGGCCTGTTTTATGTGGTATGTCCCACCACGCCCCTGATACTGTGGACAGGAACGTAAGGGTGTCTAGAAAAACTGTCCTGACTGGATTCTTTAGAAGCAGGTAGAGGCACTGCGAAGCACTATTCATAGCATGTTGATGTTGGCCTGAAATCAACTTCTCACCTGTAGCTGACAGAATACATCCTCTGGTGTCTTACGATCACTGGTGTCATTGTAAAACTGAAATATTTAAAAAATGTTATGATACACCCGTGACCCCGTTCAGGGACTACGCGGTAGAAAATGAATGAATGAATGAATGTTATGATACATGGTGGAGCTTTTTTAAAACGGATGCTCCTACTTTTGATCCAGACAAGGAACTTGTCAACATGATATCAATTGAACATTACTATATGTTTGGCAACCGGATGTCACAGTATTATTGCTGCCATTCATTTAATTAGGGACAAAAGTTTAGATGGAGTGACGACAGTGATAAAATCAGTGACAATCATGGGATAGGCCTAAAGCTGGAATACAACCACACTTTGGCTACGTTGTCTATAAGAAGTGGGATTGTGGCTGCACTTTTTCTTGTCTGCTTCCAAGAAAATATTATCTGTATTCAAACCCACCAAACATAGCGCTGGGTTGCAACAAGCAGATACAAACCATGACGCGGTTTGTTGATCATCAAGCTGAGGCTAATTTTATTTGTCCATCCCAAAATCACAAAATTGCCTCAAGGCCCTTTACAGCCTGTACAGCATACTATGGCACTGTCTATCCTAAACTACCCCCTCACAAAAATCCTGTTATGGGGAAATAAATGGAAGAAACCTGAGGAAGAGCAGCACAGGACGGACTCCTCTTCAAGGGCAGACAGACATGTAATAGAATAAATCAACATAATAGATTTACAGTATAGACATTCAGAATGACAACATTTTATATTGTAAACATTTCGTGACACCAGAACCCACAACCTACATCTAACTGGCAATACTGGCTCACCTGGACACACAGCGCTAGCTTTTTAATGACAAAATATTGCAAGCCATTGTCTCAATGCCTGGCAGTGCCTTTAAAAGTCATACATTATGTGGCACTTGACCTAGTTAAGTAGTCATACTTTAAAGTGGAAATTTCCACTGTTCATTGTTGTAAGACAATATACCTATTTGAGCATTTACATGTGTGTAGGAACCAGCTTTTAATACTGCACTTAATTATAGGGAGATGTACTTTTACAATACTGCATTGTCTGTATTTTTGAGTTTTTATGACACTACACATCCAATAAGATATATATAATTTACCTGCTGAAGGAGTTAAATCTAGCAACATTCTGTATTTGAGCATTGTTGCTATGCACTGCCCTGTTTTGTAATGCAATATTTCACATGAAATTGCTCTAGATTTACATTTTAAAGGGTCTGAATACTTTGTCCACCACTGGGCACTTTGAACCCAAATACTGTATACTACTGCCACTGCCTATATTATAATATTAATTTTATTTACATTTTTATGTAGCTCTCTACTAGTCCCATTATTAGCAGTATCAGTTTATAATTTACATAATAATAATCTGATGCCATTCATTCCCTAATGCTTATTGGTCAATTGGATTGGCCACGCCCACACCTGTCTTGGTAGCTCCGCCCAGTAGAAAATACCGTTCATCCCCTTGCTCCTCGCCCAAACTTGTCCACCCGTTGTGAGTGTAAAGATCCGACCTCTAGAGTAGCTCATTAGGTTAATGCTCAAAAATGAAAGTGTTAGATATAATTCTGACTGAAGTGACCTGTGGGAGGACTGAACTAAATCCTTGAGTCCTGCCTTCGCCGCGGTCCAATTACCTACAGCTGCAAGAGTTTGGATTTATTCACGCCAAGAGCTGAAGCAGCATGGGGAAATGGCACTTGTCACTGGTAGGTTAAATGACTGCTACTGTCTAAGAGTAACATGAATGTGTGTACGGTGTCACTTTGTTTTTATCAGTTTTTCTAGTATTGTCTACGTGCGAACTTAATTCTCTGTCTAGTCACCAGGACAAACATATTAATAATATAATATCTTCATTCAGTGCAGATCCACCACCGTCTCATTGTGTCCGGCAGCTGGCACATGTAGGTAGTCTGTCAGGTGTTTTTCAAGCGCGGTCCTCTGTTGTTGTTGCTGTAAATATGTGCATAAAACCCGTGTGTGGTCACAGGTTGCATACCAGTGCAATGATCAAGCCTCATTCCAGGGCTGTGACTAGTTTGTCAAAGATGAGGTGCGTAGATACTGTGGTCAACGTCGTTCAGGTTCCATTCTGGGTCCACTCGGGTTTGGCTTGTCATCATTACCTGGTTCTTTTATAAACTTGTTCATGCAGCTAACCTTAAGTGGAAGTCACTTCTGCTGCAGTGGTCTCAGTTGTTTTGCTGCACCGAGGTTGTACTTTGGGGTCCAGGGGGGTGTGCTTGTCATATGTTGTGCAGGAGTTTCTTGTTATTTCCTTACATCGGTGCTCTGATGTACCTGTTGTCATGGGGTGTTCACAGTAAAACCTAGTCTTGTAGTGCTGGGCTGTAATTGAATACATTTGTGTTAATATGACCAAATGATAATCTGAAGTCAGTTTTTCTCATTGCTTAAATAATAAGTTTAAAAGTTGTATTTGTCACAACCTAAGATATTAAATACTAGATAATATTCAGGCTATCTTTTGGAAATTATAAGGTTTTGTTTAGTAAAACAGCACCGAACTGCTTGACTTATGGAGATGCACCTTCTCAAATAAAGCATTCTGATGCAGATATAATGCTCCAGTAACTATCACGATGTTATGACTGCCCTTATCAAAAGAGTTGATGGAAAAACCTTCACTTCTTGATGTCAAAACCAGCTCAGGGCAAAGAAAGGCCTCCTGATCTCCTTTGAACAAACATGTCGCACTGGTTCTTTGTATTATGTGAGGGGAAGCATATTGTTGTTGATATCTGCTAAGCACTTGCAATGTAACTGTCAAACTCTTGTCATTCTTCAGTAAATTGTCAGTGTGTTTGCGCTTGTAAACACACATGTCCGTGAATGCCTCTTTGCCTTATCATCCATCCACTCGCCAGGTGTCTGTGTGCGTCAGAGTTCAAGGCTGGGTCGCAAGCACAGTTTCATGAATGAGGGTTATTGACGTAGAGTTTGTACTCAGCTTGAAGGCTTAATGCATTTATCATGAGGTATTTGTGTAGATATGTGGGGCTGTGATAGTAATTCATTTGAGTGTTGAAGGAGCAAATCGTGATGTTATCAGGTAGAAGGACATTTTAAAGCATATTATGACTATTTGATTTTTGCACAAATTATGTTATTGGAGAAAGTTTGAGTTTTTTTTTTTACATTTATTTATGTAGTATTTGCTCTGTAGTACATTATTCTGTATAACCCACACTATCATAAATAAAGGAGCAGAGCAGAAAACATAGGGTTATCACTGTACCCGCCAAATCTTGATGACCTTGCATCTGTTCCTGCAGGACCCAGTGCAGGAGTGGGGGGAGGAGAAAGAGGACGGAGCCGTGTTTGGCATCACGTTGCGCAGAGAGCCCGTTCAGCCAAGCTCAGATGTGGCGGAACTCCCCACGGTCTCCAGCTTTATCCAGTACCACACGGTGAAGGTACGCAGACTGAAGGCCGGCTCCCTGGAGCGACTGGTCACCCACCTGCTGGACCCCGTGAACCAGGAGCCCGACTTTGTCCGAATCTTCCTCTCCACCTACAGGGCCTTCACCTCCACCAGCACGCTCATTGACCTGCTGTTTCAGAGGTGAGAAGCAGTCACACTGAGGCCCTGCACACATACATTTGGTTAACAGAGAAGATCTCTACCAACTGAATGTGTGCGAATTCATTGTGAAGCCAGCCAGTTAGATTAGCATAGAGACAGGGGAAACACCCAGCCTTGCTCTTTCTGCTTACAAGGAGCTTTTATATGTAAAAATAGCAAGCTACAGTTTTATGGGAGATTTTCTCACGTCTGGAGTAGATCACGGCTAACTGTTTCTGCTTGTCTCCCGTCTTTATACAAAGCTAAGATAACTGACTGCTGGCTGTAGCTTCATATTTAGTGGCGGATATTGTCATCTAATGCTCAGCAAGAAAGAGAACAAGCGCAGTTGACTTGAAAACTATATTTTGTGCATGATAAGTGAAGTTACTGCATCCAGTGACGCCTATCCTTACCAGACGCCAGGTACTGGCTTGAGGGTTGTAGTTATCTTTGCTTTTTATGTTACTGACACTGATGTGTTATTTCAGTGTGTGCTGTTTTTAGAAAGGATGCCATTGCATACAAATGAAAGTGAAGCATATGTGTAACTGGGCTTGACAAAGGAGGCAGTAATGTAACACCCTCTCTACGTTAGCTCAGCTGTTCACAAAGCAAAACTATTGATGCTAGGCAAGTTTCTATGACGGGTATTATCGTCACGAACTGACAAAGCCTCCAGGGGCTTTGTTTCATTCCACACCCAGTGGAGGAGCGTTTTCACTTACAGTAACTGAAGATGGTACCTGCCTCAGTCTGACCCGGTAGAATAGCAATAATAAAATGCAAGTTCATTTTTAAAAGGTTCACCTTTGCTGAACAGTTGTCCTCTTATCTGTGGTACTGGTGGCAATGTGTTTCCTGTGCGGCCAAATCTGTGTGACACATTCATGCAATAAAGACCCTGTTATAAACTTTGGACATGTTCCTGAAAATGTGACAGCATGACACAATCCCTGAGTTATGTTTTTATGATACCAGTACTGACTTGAGAGACACATCTTCCTGTTGACTCTGTCTCTCTGCAGCAAGGCCAGCTTGTCTCTGAAGGGCCTGAAAGTGTTGTAGGACATTTCCTCAGGATGAACATTTGCAATGGTTGAACCCAGGACCTTTGCTTTTCCATGATCTGTTCTGTTAACCCTAGGTGTACCATGTTGTCCCTTCATGTGGTGATGTCTTAACCATTCAGGTGATGCATTGTTGTGTTTATTTTGTCCACAGAGATGACTCCATTGCCAACCTGGATAATGTTGTCTGCCCCCATAGGTGAGTGCGGCCATGCCTCTTTTAGACTGGCACACAATATGCTGATTTTTTTGTCCTTCCTTGATCTCATTAAGATTAATTTGTTCACCCCCCCTCAGTGCTTTACCCATGGTAATCCGCCTGTGGCTGGAGGAATACAGTGAAGACTTCCATGTGCCGCCTCAGTTTCAGGCCCTGAGGCTGTTGTGTGTCCACCTGCGGCGTCGCCTCTGCTTCAGACGCCTAGCTCAGTCTGCTGAGTGCCTGCTCAAAAGGCTTGAAGAACAAGGTACAGGCAGCGATTGTCATGGTGAGGGATGTGTATAGTAGATACACACTGTGTTATTTTGTGTGTGTTAATGATCTTATTAGCGCTTCAAGCATGTCACAGAATACATTTTCAGGGGAATGATTTGAGAGTTTTGCAGACCACCTGTTACACTGAACCACTTCTATTTCCTGTCATCCATCATTTTTATTCACAGTAGTTCAACAGCTCCAGATTTTGTAGAACTCTGTAATTTGTCAGGTCTACAACGATCACTCAGGGATTGGAATAAGTAAATGCTGCAGGTGAATAGTGAGGAGTAAACCGACATCAACTATAACTCTCAAATAACCATACAGACTTTTTTTATGTTCAATAATTCAGGGTAATTTCACTGACAGCAGGAACGCCCTGGTCTCAATCTCATAGTTGCACATTTTCTCATCTGGAATGGAAGCTGCCCAGTACAATCTGAACCAATTTTAATGAAGAAAAAGACCTTTACAGTGTCCTGACATAGATGTGATTTTGCAGCTCAAATAGTGACGTGTTGTTGCGTGTTCATCTGTGTTCTCTGTCAGTCTGTTTCATTGTCATTTATGATTCGGTGTGTTTGACAGGTTGTAGCCGATCTGTGTCAAAGCACAGCAGTGAATCACTACAGCAGGACAACAGAGATCAGGAGGTTGGAGGAGAGATGTCTCCTAAGGAAGAAGACAAATGCAACTTTATGGACTTCCCTGTGAAAGAAGTGGCAGAGCAGCTGACTAGACTGGATGCTGTAGGTTTCATTAACATATGTCTCGAAGCTCTGTATTAATGTGAGCATCCGATTCATTTCTTTTGACCATCTTGCTTCTCCTTCTTGTTGTTTCTGCCTCAGGAGCTGTTTGTCAGAGTGGTGCCCTTCCACTGCCTGGGCTGTGTCTGGTCCCAGCGTGACAAGAAAGAGAATCAAAACCTGGCGCCCACCGTCCGTGCCACCATCTCCCAGTTCAACACTGTCACCAACCGTGTCATCACTTCACTCCTCTGCCCGTCCCCATCCTCCCCTTCCACTCCCATCTCATCACCAAGTTCCTCCTCTGCCTTCCTGTACCCCTCCACTGCCCCGAGCTCACCTCTCTGCTCACATGCCAGCCCCACCCACAGAGCGCACATCATTGAGGGGTGGATTGCGGTTGCACAGGTCAGGGTCAGAACATTTCATGAAACTAATACAGCAGCTTGTAACTTTTGTCAGCATTGTATGACAAAACTACCATTTGTGTGTGTCTGTAGGAGTGCAGACAGCTGAAGAATTTCTCGTCACTGAGGGCCATCCTTTCAGCCCTGCAGTCCAACGCTGTATATCGCCTCAAGAAGACCTGGGCAGCTGTCAGCAGGTGGGCACATCAAGTTCTGTTAGTGAACCTACAAAAGGAGAAGATTCATTAATGGATTTCTCTGCTCTGCTTTCTGAACGGCTTATCTTTTTGGGTTTTCTCAAGGTGGAGAAAACCTTAACAGACTGAATGTGTTTGGTTTCAGGGAAAGCATGGCCACCTTTGACAACCTCTGTGAGACATTTCCTGATGAGAACTGCGTGCTAACCAGCAGAGAGATCCTGGTGGAGGTAATTACACGTGTTTGACCTAAACGCACAGCGGGGCAGCGTGGGCTGATGCAGGCTCTGCCTAATTCATGAGGGAAAAATCTGTGTAGTTAAATATTTGAGTGCACCAGTGGAAGGATGCACTCATGACTGAATTGGAATAAATGACACTGCAGTAAGAAAATAACAGGTTACTTCCTGTTCCACAGCACCTTTGTTTGACTTCTTAATGCTTGCATAGCTTCTACTATGTTCATTTTCTTAAACATAAACACAAATTCACTTATTGAATGTATTGTATGCATATTGTCTTTAATAATTAATTAGTTATCCTCGTAATGATTTAATGTCATGTTTGTGTAAGTCATAAGACTGACTGTTCAGTCTGCAGCTCACCTGCAGCTCTTTAGTTCTGAGCTGTTTGCTGTGAAAAACCACTGATATGAAGGCAGATTTAGAGATAATGCTGTTATCAGTAGCTCAGTTTCAGTAAGATAATGAAAAGGCCATTGTTAGTAGGCAACACAAATACAACTATAAAAGTGGCTAGTTGGACACCAGTGCTAGTCAGCAGTTAATATTTTTTGTGGGTACAACTAATTAACTCTTCTTGTGCGCGCACACACAACGATGTGTGGATGAAATTGTCTGTAACACAGTTGTCACCAGCCGTCACCCTCCCGCTCTGTCAACAGGTGCTCAACCCTGAAAAGAACACTTTTATAATGTCTGTTTTGTTGTCATCTGGCATTAACCTCCTGAATGTGAGTCATTTTGTTTAATCAAAACTGACAGTGCTGTTGTGCATTTTCTGTAGGATGGGAGTCAGCTGGACAGCAGTGCCACCCCGACCTCTAAATCACCTCGGCTCTGCCCGGTGTCCAGACAGACGGTAAGACTGTCCTGCATGCAAAAAAATAGCCATGGTTTAGTTTGAAATCAGTGTTGGGTTTGACTGAAGGCAATGTTTCAGCTATGCCAACCAGTAGAAAGAGAAAGGCAAAGCTCTGAAACATCAGTTCTATTTCCCTAAAAGCTGCTTTTCAAAGTGAGATTCTTTGCTAAAATAGACTCCAAATGTCCACTTCCCTTCTTCTTCTTCTTCTTCTTCTTTCAGTTTGTTAATTCAGTGGATAAAAATCTCACAGCTGATGTGTATTCACTCTGTTTAAAATAGTGGTGGACTTCTGTTTTCACGCTGTAGTTATTCTTGTATTTCCATTGGCATTACATTTAGTTAGCTCAATATCATGTCCTCTCTTGCTCAGACACAAGAATCCTGCTCCAAGCCGATGACTGACTAATCTGATAGAATTTACCATGCTTGTATTTCCTACTTATTTCAAATGTATTACATTAAAGTATTTACAAAAAATAGTAATAAGTAGTTTGGTATTTTTTTTGGCAGTTGTGCAGTCGTGCTCTTTACTGCGGTGTAAAATTGTGGCTTGATTTTTGTCCTTAGAACTTCACTAGTGGTGTTGTACCGTACCTGGGCACATATCTGACTGTCCTCACCATGCTGGACACAGCACTGACTGACACTGTGGAGGTGAGTGCACATCCCACCCACAAACCTAACTGCTGTTTTTATGACACTATAGGTTTATGATGCTGTACGGTATAACACTGGTTGTTTGCCCTTTCCACAGGGTGGACTCATCAACTTCGAGAAGCGCAGACGGGTAGGTGTCGCCCCTTAGTGGTGTCTTAGATGAGTGGCCACTAGCAAATTCTGTTTTGATTTTGTTCTCTACCCTGTTCTCTGTTTTATTCTTTTCTGTTCCAGGTGTTTACCTGTGTTTTTGTTTTATTTCTTTCTGTTTTAGGAGTTTGAAATTCTTTCCCAGATTCGACAGCTTCAGACCAGCTGTTCCCACTACAGCCTTCCAGTGAACCCTTATATCACCGCCTGGCTGCAGGCACACACGCTGCTCACTGACCAGGAGAGGTGGGACACACACCGACATCCCTGCCATAATGTAGACACACAGTCAAAAGCCACGTGTGTCATGTCTACATCTTTTTTTCCTTTTGTAGCTATGAACTGTCTCGAGACCTGGAGCCTCCGGTTGACCCCTGTCCCAGCTCTCCGAGCATGTGGAGCAGTCGTCTTCTCGCTAGGAAACTTGTGTCGTAAGTCTGAAAAACCATTCCTATGTACAAACCTGTCAGAAGTAGGCATCTTTGAATTCAAAAAGTTATACTAGTACAAAATGTTAAATTCATAGGCCAGAAATCCTGTTAACTAACAGATAATACATTACATAAGTTCCATGTTTTTAATATTAAATGGCAGGAGTAGTGATTGCTTACAAACAGAACATAGATTTTCTTGCTAATATATCAAAATAAATTAAGTTACTGTTCAGTGAAAAGTCGCTCAGCTTAAATTATGCACATGTTTGTGTGCGCAGGTTGCGAACAGTGAGTGACAGCTGCCTCAGGAAGACCCACGCTGACCAGATTAGTGTGTCGTCATCTGGCTCCAGCAGCTCTGACATGGAGGATCTCTGCGCCCCACAGCCCTCCCCACTCAGACTCAAAATCAAGGTATGAGCAAAAACATAAAACTACCAAAGACTTTTTCATGGGCATTTGCTACTTGGCTGGTTAAACAATTGAAGGAAACTGTCTTAAAACTGTAACATTAACATTTGTTCCTGTTTCTCTCCCTTCATCTTCCCTCAGTCCCTCTCAGGCTCTCTGCACAATGTAGCAGCGGATTTCTCCTCCAGCACCACACCGTCCTCCTCCTCCTCGCCCATTCTGTCCCGCTCCTCCTGCAGCTCCACTCCTCCAGACCTCAGCTCCTCCTGTCTGGTGCTGAGCCCCGACTCGCCATCCTCTAGCTGCTCTCCTCAGGCCTCGCTGCCCGTCTACAACAAACAGGTCGCCGACTCGTGCATCATCAGGGTCAGCGTGGAGTGTGTCAGCAATGGGAACGTCTATAAGAGCATACTGGTAAGAACAGTGGTTTTGTAACTGTGCTTTCCTGAGGTCAGCCATCCTGTTGCTGGTTGACTTAGTTGACACTTTTGTAAAACAAGAAACAAAAGCAGATGTATGAGGAGTTGGTGTTGCTGAATGACCTGTCTCAACCCCTTCATGTATGAGTAACACATGTGACTCTTTAGGAATTCTTTTGTGATATTTGCAAATAAGAAAATATCTTATCAGCACGAGATTTAGGAATGAATCCTCTTAATTATGCCCCTGGCTTTTTTTTTATCAATTACTACAAAACTAACAACAGAAAATGAATTCACCCCCAAACATACAAACTTTTTAATGATATGAAGCAAAGAAAAACTTCAGGCTTGGGACTTGGAACTACACAACTACGCCCCAATGAAACTAAGTTCCACAAAAGGTTTCCTGTTGCCTGGAGAAAGTTCCTTTGGGTGGAAACGGGGCTAAAGACGTCCCTGTCACCTTAATAAGTTTTCTGGTTACAAATGTAAGATTTTGACTTTGGTTGGATTTTAAAATGTCCCCTTTGTTTTTCCACTCCAGCTGACCAGTCAGGACCATACACCTCAGGTGATTCAACGAGCCCTTGAGAAACACAGCATGGAGGATGCCAGCTGCCATGACTTCAGCCTCTCTCAGGTGCTCGGCAATGGGAAAGGTGAATATTCCCTCTAGCAGTCTGATCTTTTTCAAGAACAGGTAACCTGCTCAGAACAAGAAAAACTTCCTCTACAGTTTTTTTTAAGCAGGGCTTTCCCTTTCTGTTTTTAACACTATATGCAAGTTTGTGTTTTTACCAGTTAACTTGTGATCAAATGCAAGATATGAGCAAGAGCTCTGATTATGTACTGAATCGCAAAGCTGCCGGTCAAGCAACATCAGACAGTGGTTTAAACTTAATCTTATGTAATGTTGAGTCTCATATGCAGGAGTCATTCCTCTTTTCTTTTGCACTAAAAAGAAAAATCAAACTGTACAAACTGGCTAAATGTTTGCCAATATTTCATTTTAATGCAGGAAAGCTTTTGGCCTCTAAAAAACATTAATAATGCATAGCAGTAAGTCTAAGGTGGAAGAAGCAAAAATCAGTTCCTTCACTGACACTGAATGGGTCTAAATTCTCAGCTGGAGAACAACTCTTGCTTTTCACTGCCCTCATTTATTCTAAATGGATTTAAAAGGGAAATATTTTTGTAAAATACTGTCCATCTAATTCTGAAAAATGTAGGAAGTGAAAAGGAAATAAGCTAAGGGAAAGTCAATAAACAATTAATTCCTCTTTCTGCCTCAGAGCTCCAGATCCCTGACAAAGCCAATGTATTTTATGCCATGTGCACCACTGCCAACTATGACTTTGTGCTGCACCAGCGCTGGAGGAGCCCCAGGGGACTTTTCACCCCCTCTTCCAGCCCTGGAGCTCAACTCAAGAGCCGCCACACCAAGAATCAAGCATCTGTCCTGAGTGAAGGTTAGAGGTACAACTGGAACACGGAGCCACTGCTTGTCTGCAGCGACGACACATCTGTGGCCATTTAAATTGTCTCTCTGCCATGGAGAATCTAAACAAACCTGAGAGCTGTGACTGAAAAATAAGCTCGAGGAGTTCTCGTCAATACACAGTCTTAACCAGGAGCAACCCTGAGATGTTATGCCAAGAATTACTCTGGACTGAAGAGTTCAAGGGAAATGTCTACATATACGGAAGACGGATGGCAAGGAGAATCAGACACTTTCCAGTTGTCCTCTACCATCTTAAAACCCAACACATGGATGTATAAACCACATTTACCCTGGACCACTTGTGGATTGTAGTACATCATGGACCATGTTCAATCCTGGAAGAACACTTTAGCTTTCACTGCAGCTAGTTACAAATATGAGGAGTAGCTGGTCCAACAAAGCAGTACCGGATCATAACGTTACAATTGGAAAACAACTCTGGCCTCTGGACCGGGATGCAGCCAGGGGACTTTTCCATGGGCTTGTTTGGCAGAATGAATAAGAGGAGCAGCTGCCTTTGATGTAATATATAAGTTATGTTTGGGATGTTCGCTGCTAGTTGATGAGTAAGCTTTCCCAAACTGACCTGGGTCAGATGTGAAATCTGTCGGACATCGGCCAAGCACACACGCACTGAAAAACAATGCAGCTCCTCTAAATCAGATGGTGTATAAAAGACTGCGTGGACCCAGGCCTGAGATGTTGTTTGTCTGGAGAGTCTGTCCTAAGTATTCAGTCAGCTTCTAGTTGAGGGTTTAAGTGTTAAGTGTTTTAAAGTAACTTAGGAGTATTTTCTAAACTTAAATTATTTAATGCAGTTCAGTATTCAGCTTTTAGAACACAAATGGCATGATAAAAATGTTTTTGAGCTTTAGTTAATTTATAATCCTCTCTGCAGTCTTTAACTCTGCTGCTGTCCTCAGACATACAGTCAATGTCCTTCACTTGCTTTGGTATCTTGTAAGCTCAGCTCAAGTTTGTATCCATTTGATTGAAGGAAACAGATTTACACTGTCTGCTGGTATTAAATGAAGGAGGCTTTGTAGTTACATATGTTTATATTCAGCAGTCGGTGTTAGAGCTGTTGTATGTCACTCACTGATTGGAAAGGCTGTGATCCACACGAGGCTGCTGATCAGAGCAACTTGGCACATAAAAGTACAAGAACAGGTCTTGTGCCACAAGGGGACTACAGCTAACTCCCCCTGCCTATGTGTAGTGCTGTGACCAAGATTTACCTGAAGAATGGTTCTTGTATGTGTAAATGAAGTGTTTCAGTATGTGAATTAGATTTGACATGTATGATCAGTGATCATACATTACTGAGTACTGGTGTCAGAGTCATGTAGATCAGTCAAAATGTGCTGCTTTCCAGTCACTGGAAGATGCTCATACATTGGTTCACATGCATATTTTAAAAAAAAAACGTACATAAAGGTGAAGTCTCCTGAGTTTTGTGCAGATTTTTGCACCACTGATTCAAGCTGCTGTGGTTTGGTAAAGGTCAGGTGAGAGGTTGGTGACGAGGTCTGGCAGCTGCAACGTATGAAGGTCTACAGCGGGACTTCTGCTGTATCCGTCTGTTGACTTTATCAGTAGTCGGTTTTCATACCAGTTCTCCCCTTTGATGGAATTGTACATGAAACTGTCACATTGTAACTTGAGCCCACATGTCTTTGGTCTTGTATTTTATTTCAACAGATTCTTTATTTTTTTAAGTTTAATCAAAGCACTTGCTGTTTATAATTAATATTTAATTTCCACTAATAAAAGCCAACTTACAATTTGCCATTTTGTTGCAGCTGTAATTTGTTTTACATATGAGTTTCATCAATTTGTAAAATGGAAAGTTTGGTATTGGGGCCTTTGGTATCATCATAAGGTCCACTGTGGTTAATATGACACTTAGGTGGCAGTTCAAAATAAATACTTATAAAACTGATATTAGTTGAGGCTTTGCAGGCCAGCCAGGGTGTAACAAACATTGCACCTCACAGCTGAAACTATCTTGATAAATCCAATGGAATGGTCGTAGCCTGACCACTAGGTGGCGGACCACACACAGATTTTGAACATTTTGTCCTGTTGCGCTTCTCTGATTCCATTCAAAGGCAAACAACTGGTTTATCCTTCAGTCATATGCCAAGGCTTTTCAGCAACCATGTATGTTTTTGGCCGACATGAAGTTCAGATAAAATCTCTTTGGGGAAACAATGTTGTCAGACCATCTGAAGAAATAAGACAGAGATTAACTGAAAACATGAACCACTGTGACTGAAAAATGCAGCTAAAATGAGAAGAAGAGATGGGAGTTGGGTCAACAGGGCCGTTTCCCTGCCTCTGCACCCTTATATAATACAGGAGGTCAGAGGTCACTGTGACAGATGTGCTTTTGTGTGTGTGTGTGGGAGTACGAGGTTGTGACCCGTCTGGCCAGTTCTGCTGCATCTTGACTGAGCTCTAATTTGCATATTATGAATATACTTCTTCTGCAGAACTGGGACCGGTTTTCCAAAATATCACTTCAAATACTCTGTGTGTAATGTACTATTCTGTGTCAGAGATGAACATGCTTTTTTTTTTTTTCCTCTCGTATTCGCCAAATATTTTTGATTTCTTTCTTATGCTCTCCTTTTTATCTGCAGTAATAATCCTATTTGTAGTTTATCTGCATCAAATGGTAAACAAATGTTTCGTATGAGTGTCATTAGTTATATTAGCTTAACTATGTCACCACCTGTGCAGGGTGTCACAGTGGTACTTTGAGTCCCATGCTCCCCTCACCCTCAACTGACCGATTATATTACATTGAGGCATCCTTGTATGTGTGAGTAAGAGAGAGCGAGAAAGAGGTCATAACAAAAAAAGTTAAAAAGAAATGGCCATTAGGTGAACTACAGAATCTCCAGAGGGCAGAGTGGCCTCTTTTTCCTCACTTGTGGTTGTGGTTTCTCATCGTCATCCTCTACCTTGTTGCCTCTTGGCTAATTTGGTTTAATGACTCTGAGTGTTTATGGGGGCCAGATCAAACCACTCTCCTGAAATGAACTGTTAGTCAGTGGAGAGGCTGACTAACATTCAGGCAACAGGTACCATGTGAGGGCTGAATATAAATTAGTCTCAGCTGGCCCCAGGCTCACTCAGAAAATTTACTTTGAGCGGCTGAAATTAGTTTTACATGATTTGTTTTTCATGGAACCGTTTTTTCTTTGTTACAAACAGAAATGACACCTGCAGCAAAAATAAAATGTGGAGTTCGGTTGAGCAGTAGCCCAGACTGTGATGCAAACAGTAGCTTGTTTGGGATCTTCAGTCAGAAAGTCTATGTCCACCTTGTCCTGGAATTTATAATTTTTCAGTTTCAGAAGCAGAAAGTGTGTCAATGGTTTTCAGCTGCTTTCTGATGCAGACTTCAGAGAGTATGTCAAGATTAGGGCTTTGTTCAAGGATGAACTGTGCCATGGCAAATGGTTAAAGAAGCTGTGATAGTCATTTAATGTTTGTGTACTACTGGGTGGATTTCTGAATGTCCTACTGGGCACAGAGTGTCTGTTTGACATGAATGTCAACATTTTGAACATTTCATAGTGGGAAAACTCAGTGTTACGACAGCATAGAGACATAAATTCACCACAGACACAAAACAAGTACAACTGGATGACTTCGGTGCTCGTCTTTCTCCTGTGTTGGAGGGGTAGGGATCGTTTACATGTCTGTGTCCAAGGACCCATGGTATCATAATTTGCCCATGCCTACATGTATGGAGAGAAATGTAATCTATTTTTGTTAGATACTTTGATTATTATGGACTTTGATATTTGTTCCTTTTTTTTAATCTGCTTATTAGTAGGTCTACAGTATATAAACAGAAAGACAACTGGTACTGAAAGCAAAATGCCTCTTGATAGTGGCATGAGCTACTATAAGTAACTGCATGTCACTGCATCTATGAGCACTGATACTGTACTGTGGGATTAAGATTTCACATACTCAAATATTTGTATTTTAATTTAATTTTTATGCCTCTGTGCTGGCAATAGCCACAGCTGAAGACATTATGTTTTCAGGTTGTTCAAGAACTTGGATGTGAAAATGATACGTCAAGAACATCTTGAGGGAATTTCTTCAAATTTGGTACAAGTGTCCATTTGGACTCGAGGACAAACTGATTGGATTTTTGTAGTCAAAGGTCAAGGTCAGTGACCTCACATTTGTCTCTTTCCTGTGAATTTGACTGCTTTCTTTAGGCCTTCGTCAGAAAAAGCTCCATCAAATTTAACAAAAACATTAGTTGTACCACCGGAAGTGTCACACACATACAGTGACACATTTTTCAGTTTTACGTTTAGTCTAAATCAGTGTTTGAAGTCGCACCTTGTTCTGTCAGCACTGTACATGAGTTGCATGTCTCCTCCTCACTCAAATAAGAATAATCCCCAACAGCTAATCACAGATTAACCTGTGTATGCACGTTTTCTTGCATGCGAGAACACGGCTGCTGTGTGACCGTCTCTGCATTAGAAACATAAACATGTTATGTGACCGTGTGTTTGTTCAGTATGTGCATGTTTTGTGTATGAGCCTCTCCACACAGATGTATGGCACAGTAGCTCAGTAGGATAAGATGTGCTCATACACTCACGTACAGTAAACATATGCCTCTTGTCATGTTTTCCTGTGTGTGTTATGTACGATGGGCATTAGTAGGTCTGTGTTGTCACAGTAAACAGATGGGAGAAATGACTGAGACTAATCTAAATGGGTTAATCCACTTAATAACCACCACAAAGGACTGCAGGTTACCTCGCTCCTCACGGCGCCAACATGCTGTCTGTCAGGCTGCAGGAGCTGCAGTAATGTTGGCTTATGTGGAAAATGCCTACTGTGCATTATTCCTGATGAAACATCAGCTGTGTGTAATGTATCCAGTACTAAAGCATCAATCTGAGATATGTGAAATAAAGCACAGGTTCGTACATTTTTCCTCAACACTCAAAAACCCATATGTGCACTGAACTTCTAATACAGTATGTGCCTGTTGGCATTAACCAAGTCAGTCATAGCTAGCTAACATGTAACTAGGTGCAAACAGTTACATGTTAGCTATCTATGAGCACTAATGTCTCATATGTCCTTTAAATATACACTCAATGACCTAATATCATCAGTAAAGGGTGGTAGGTGCTTCACTATCCATTAAACTGTACATAACAGTAAGGTGCTTCCTGAGCCACTAAGAGCTAGCAAGACAAAAATCATGCTAACTGATTTATGCCTGCACAAGTGCTTAAATGTGTACATACACCCTGGCATCTGCAAGTTTTATTGTTTATGCATTTTCATGGTTTATTGCTGATTGGTAATTAATATGCTTTATTAATAATGAAGTGTTTATTGCAAACAAAGAAAGTTTTATTGCCTTTCTCTGAGGTGTTAGAGGAGTTTCTTATACAACTAGATAGTCCACCACCTCTTTATGTTTAATCAACTCTATTGATCTCTTGTTAAAATATTTACTGAACAGTGTGGCAGCTTGGATTTAGCACCGTGTACCTCAGCTGTTAAAGGGCCATTATGTTGCTCTGATGTCAGTAAAATTCCTCTGTGCAAATAAAACTCCGAGGCATACACAACACCTGAGTCAGAGCTCTCCAACAGCTAGTGGGAAGCTTTGTGTGTCTGGACTGAATTCATGATTACTTAAAATGGCTTGAAGCTCTTCTTTGTAATGTGAAACATTCACTTTCACTGTGCTGAATAGGTCAAAGACGGTGAATATACAGAAACCAAAGCATGTGATTTCTGTTAATAATCTGAGAGATGTTGCATATTTTTTTAGAATGTATTATTTAAAGAATGTAGTTTTTCATTTTGTGACATACACTTCTCGCCCTTGATGAGAGTTAGATAAGAATATACCACTCATCTGTACAGTAAAAATATTGCTGGAGCCAACAACAGGTTAGTTTAGCTGAGCATAAAAAACTGGAAGTGGTGAGCAAGAAGAACGACGAGATCCAGCTACCAGCACCTCTAATGCTCACTAGTAATCATATACAGTGTTAGTTAATTCACACAAAAGGCAAAGTAAACAAAAGACATGTCAGGAGTTTGTTTTTTTTGGCTGCAAGAAGTGACCTGGAGTCTTATCGTCAGTGTGAGCCGTGCTGTGCACATTTCATTCATGCATTCACTACACCCTTTATAACAGACATTCAGCTGTTTACTCTGAGCAGCAAGTTCAGACACATCGTCATTTTGTGTCATCACTAATGTCTGCTGACCTGCACAGTCTATAAAATCGAGTGGATTGTGGTATTGTTAGCAGTTGTGTAATGTGCTATATAGCGGCTAGATTTACACATTCAGCATTCAGACAGTCAAAATGGCAGAGGGCAACTGTAGTGCACTATATACAGTAATTCATATGTAGCATTCGGACACGAGTTATGCTGTTTTTTTTTCTTGCTCTCACCAAGAAATGTTGAACTATTCTTTTAAATGTTTGAGAGAATTGGGGATTGCCTCAGTTAAGTTGCTGTACCCAGTACAATACAAGGGCTTTTGTTAATATTACCTTATTTTTTGCTTATGTTTTAGTTCCTTTGAAATAGTTCACACTTTTTAGGTGTTGGGGTTGTAAAGTTTTTGGCTGAAAAAACTGGCCAGGGAATATTATTTAATTATTCTTTTCAATAGATGTGATTAGACTTTGACCAAAAGCAGACTGAAATAATTTTCCAAACCTTTCCTCTGGCGAGGTGCTGTGAGGGGTCATGATTATGAA